TGATGTCATCCGCGCGCACCAGTTACAATTCATTCATCCTGTCCGCTGAACTGCTGCTAGTTTTACTCACATGCCTGGAAGATGTCTAGAGCTGCTACCACAGATGATCTCGCTCTCCAGATGAACCATTCAGATGAGCTAGAATGAATAGAAGGGGTAGAGCGTAGCCGCCTTTGACCCAGGCTGCCTGTCACTACTACAGTCCGCATATGTGGATGACGTCATACACACGCTTTGTTTAAAAAAAATATAAATATAAAAAATATAACGGTGGATGTCTGGGGGGCAGTGATTGGCCTCCATGTTCTTAATGCTATAAAATAACGGAAAATCAAGGGACCAATGTAAAAAAAAACGGCGTTCCCCTTTAAACAGGTGCACAAGACAATTTCTCCTCGTGCACGCTCTGTTTAAAAGTTGCTGTTAAAAGCTAAAAGATTTGCAGTTTTTTCAAAAGTGAAAATGGGGACGAGCACATAGGACGGCGTTCGGTCAGATCAGCATACCCCGTCAGACCAGCATACCTATAGGTAATACGCATGCGCAAGACTTGCATACGTCTGACACTATAAGTGGAAGGAAGTCTACTAGGCTATCTTATGTATGCATGAAATGATAAACAAAAAGTTGTAGTTGAAGGTAAACACTCAAACTTACCAGAAAAGTATACCGAAAGTCAAATAGGCTAGTTTATTTATGATGTAATAAACATAAAGTTTTACTCTGGGGTAAACAGAATTTAAAGCTAAACTGCTGCAAATGATCTGCAAATGTAACAGAAGTTGTTTCTGTGCATGCACATGCATGCGTATTACTATGGGTACGCTGATCTGACAGAACAGCAGCCTTATGTAAACATATCACCAGAATGATTGACAATTAGGACGACCACTTATTTTGAGGATCCACCCGGAAAAACAACATCCTCCACTTTACCTTTAAGGGTCAATAGCAGCACTGAAGCTGATGGTAAATCCATAAAAAACAACTATCTAAAATTGTTGCAATGCAATATTATAAATCCATAAATATAATCTAAAAACTGAAAAAAGAGAAATTCTTTCCAAACATATTTCGTTGTGCAGCATTAAAGTTTCCTGCACCGCAGTGTTTTGGAAGTGAGCATCCTCTCTGAGCTGTTATTA